CTAATTGAAGCCTATTGCCAGACTTCCTCGTTTCTGCTGTTACTGCTGCTCCTGTTTACAAAGGCTGTGTAAGAACTGGCGGTAGCAGCAGTAGAATCCCCCAGTGGCTGAGAAGACAGCAGTGAGGAGTAGAGTCAGAGGAATTGAGCCAGGAAGGAGTGGTGTCCAGTCTCACCCACAGTGCCCTTTCCTTTTGAGCAGGAACATTAGCCCAGCCCTCTTGCCCTTGCCCACTTGCTGGAAAAAACCCAAGAGCCTTTGCCTAGAGCCATGTCCTTTGCCTCACCTGCCTGTATCTCACCTGTGGTTCAGTGCTACAAGACCCTGGGTTTCAGGCCTTTAAAACCATTAGGAGAAGTGAACAAAAGGAGAGCTCCTTTTCATTTAAAACTGGTTCTCAACTTTCCTCATGCCGCCACCCTTTAATACAGTTCCTCATGTTGTGACCCCAACCATAAAATTATTTTTGTTGCTACTTCATTACTGTAATTTTGTTACTGTTAGGAATCGTCATGTAAATATCTGATATGCAGGATGTATTTTTATTGTTACAAATTGAACATAATTAAAGCATAGTGATTAATCACAAAAACAATATGTAATTATATATTGTGAAATATTTATTTCTAATGACAAATTAAATTTTGTCTTGAAGTATGGTGTGGCATGGCTAACGACAGTCTTCACGCCAGGTACTTGTATGTGGGCGTACCTGCATGTGGGCAGATCCACCTGGAGAAGGATAGAGGAGGTGGTGTATGGGTTCTAAGACCTTCGGAAATAACTGTTTTCTGATGGTCTTAGGCAGGGGTGTCAAACTCAATTAAAACATGGGCCATTTGGTGCAACAGGCAAGATTCATGCGGGCCACATCACATTTACAAATTTTGTTAAATTTATATTTTGAAGTGATGATACAGGAATATGGATAGGTTAATTAAAACACTATGTAATTGCTTTTATTTAAACGTTTATTTTATTTAATGTATTCATAAAACTAAAATGATTCTTTTCTTTCCTGAAATTTGCCAGTGCTTTCTTCCTACTAGTTTTCACTTACCTCTTATGTTGTGACCGGAAAAAATAACAAAATTACTAATAAAAAAACCAAAATGTTGGACAGTTGACAGGCGTGATGCACAATCGTAATGGCTTCCCTCTAAAAATGTTAACTAGTGCTGCCGCTAGGTATGATTCATAACAGCATAACCCAGAGTGCTCTTTTTAACCTTTTTGCTTTGGGGATCTGTTTACATTACATGACACTGACAGTGGCAGACATGTCGCTTCCACACGTCACCGGAACTGAGTCTAGCACGTTTATACACCTCCACAGGCCCCCAGGAAAGGCACTGGGCCACCTGTATACTTGTCTTCAGTAGTTAAAGGGTTAATGAGGGAATATTGTCTGTACGGTAGTGCCCCTACCTCCCCTAAAAGCTTTTTTTTTCTGTAATGTTTTCTATTTTCCTTTTATTTTAGAGCATTGCGGGTCATAAAAATTACCTGGGGGCCCCCCAGTTTGACACCCCTGGTCTTAGGTGACCCCTGTGAAAGGGTCGTTCAATCCCCACAGGGGTTGCGACCCACAGGTTGAGAACCATTGCTTTAAAACAATAAAACCTTATGGGACCATGGACATGTGAAACCAAACCCACTGATTTCAAGTAGATCTCAACTCATAGCCATCCTGTAGGACAGGGTAGAACTCCTGAGGGTTCTCTCCTGCCTCATATTTTTCCTGTAGAGTAGCTTGTTGATTTGAACCACTAACTTTGTGATTAGCAAACTCAATGCTTATCCCACAGTGCCACCAGAGGTTCTTTTTTAAACATTTTATTAGGGGCTCATACAACTGTTAGCGCAATCCATACACACATCAGTTGTGTAAAGCGCATTTGTACATCATTCTCAAAACATTTTCTCTCCACTTAAACCCTCGACATTAGGTCCTCATTTTTCCCCTCCCTCCCTGCTCCCCCCTCCCTCATGAGCCCTTGATAGTTTATAAATTGGTATTTTGTCATATCTTGCCCTGTCCGACGTCTCCCTTCACCCACTTTTCTGTTGTCTGTCCCCCAGGGAGGAGGTCACATATAGTTCCTTGTAATCGGTTCCCTCTTTCCTACCCCTTCTCCCTTTACCCTCCCTGTTTCGCCACTCACACCACTGGTCCTGTAGGGCTCATCCGCCCTGGATTCCCTGTATTTTCAGTTCCTATCTGTACCAGTGTACATCCACCAGAGGTTCTTAAGTGCTTATTGGGGGCTTCAAAAAGTTTGTGCAATACTTTTTTAAAAATAATACTTGAATTAAAGGATAGTGGAAATTTTCCACAAACTGTGAATCCTTGTGTATGTAGTCAGTAGTTGCTCAGATGAACAGTAAGTGATGCATTTCTTTCTCTATTTGAAATAAAACTTTGTGCCAAAATGTTAGAAAGGCATAGAGAAGAACAAGTGTTCAATGCTTTTTATATTAGATACACTCGTGAACTTTGAAATTTTCAGAATTGCATTAAATGTTATAAAATTTTTGTTGATGAATTCAAGTTAAATGACATTCACTGACTTTTGGTTCTATAAAGAAAACACTAAGATAATAAAGCTTTGTATTCCCTTTTATTTTGGATCCCTGACCCATAATGAAATATAAGGAAAGCTGAGGAAATTTGTTGAGATGCAACTGTTCATCTGAAGTTTCTTCTTTGAGCAGTACATAATATGAATCCTAGTTTGTGGCATATTTACTGTAACTGCATACTAATTCATTTTCTTAATGACTTTTCCTAACAAGATGTGGGGGCAGCTTTGCATTTAATTGAGAAATTCAGATGAACATAAACAAGGCCTATATATGTGGCCTTCAATGGAAAAGTTAAATGGCATACCCTGCATAGTGATGCTCTTGTAAAGAGCTTAGTGAATATAACTCGATATTAGCCATGTAAAGGGAATTGTGGTTCCAATGCCTGCCATTGTATGTTTTAACAGGTTGAAGAGAATTGTTCATCGTTCTTTTTTACTTTTATGTGTCAGGCAGTATTCTAGTGGAGATGCTGAGATTAAACAACGCATCTGTCTTCCAACAGCAAAAAGTGGACAGTCTGTGATAGTGTGATGCTGGTCTACTAGAGGTAGAAAGCACAGAGTACCATAGAAGATGAGAGAGAGAAGCATGTAAACAATCCTGAGTCAGAATTAGCTCAATGGCAATGAGTGAGTATAGAGGAGGAGAGGAATGGCTTGTTAAGGAAGTTACCATGTTGAGATAGTTTATTGTACCAGCCTGGCCGATAAACACAAGTGGGATTAATTGTAGGGCAGAGAGATAAATGGCTTGGTGAGCCTTGCCTTTCTTGTCTTTCGCTCTTTGATCATCGGACCAATGTGCGGCTGCCTTGCTTGTTCTGTGCCTCAATTTAAAGGCTACACTACCTGTGGGATGCCTAGCCTGTGGACTGTGTCGCTGTAAGTTGAGGTCCCTTTAAGACATCTCTGGAGCTGGGACTGGCGGTTGGTGACCTGGCTGGCAGTTGGTGACCTGCCTTCTGATTGGCTGCTGTGCTGACATAGCCTAGCTCTCTCTATAAATAGAGGAAGATCTGGCAGCAGACTAGACTTGAAGGACTGCTAGTCTCTCTGCTAGTCTCTCACAACTCTCTCACGGGAGTGAGTTGAATTGAGCCATTTGTAGTGCTTTATAATGTAACTATTTCTTTCTTGTATTATATATTTATCTGTATTTGGTTTAACAGTTCATTTCTTGTTATATATCTAATTATCTTTATAAATAAATATATTAAATTATCAGCAATTTGGTTTTATCTCTAGAGAACCCTGTCTAACACACATGTCAATTGAGCATGGATTTTATAGCCAGGGGAAAAAAATTAAAAGGTTAACCCCTAGTGGTGCTCTAAGTATTCATCATTGGTTCAAACTCATTAGCTGCTCTGTGGGAGGAGATGAAGCTGTCTCCTGCCATTAGGAATTACAATTTCGAAAACTGTATATATGGTTGCTATGCCTGGGAATTGACTCTGGAAGTGAGTTTGTGGAACCGAATGAAGAGAGTACTTAAATCTGTCCTGTAGCCCTAGGTCTCTTGTGTGCAAGGATAGAGTGGCATGACAATATAGGGCTTTGGAGGGGAAACAAATCACTCTGAATGGCTAGATTTGGGTGCTTGTTGGGGGATAGCAAGGTAGCAGTGTTTGCATCATGAAGGGCATAATGAGTTTTGGATTTTATGTTAAATGCAGTGGGGAGCTAGTGGATGTTATTTACAAAGAAGGATTTTGGTCTGTAGTTCATTATGAAGATGGTCTAGAAGATATTGGAGGTAGAGCAAATAGGACTCTCCTGACCTTTCATCTCTAATACCAATAATTGTCAAGAGAAAAGTCAAAGACAATGGAGTTGTCAGTCCCTGACATGAGCAACCTGGGGTAGGAGAGGGGGGCACATGTTCTTTGCAGTGCTGAAAGCTAGAGTGGAAACATTAAAGGACGCGTCTTAGCAGTGAAGCAGCAATATTACTGAAAATCTTACAAATTTTCATTGGCAACTCAAATTTTTGTAGAGTGGCTAGGTAGTATAAAACATCATGTTAACATATAGGCCTATAAGCAGTGATATATTCTATTACTTTGGATTCATACGCACAAGCAACCATACCAAAGCCAAGCTCCGTGCTCTTGAGTCGATTCTGACTCGTAGCAACCCTACAGAACAAAGTAGAAAAGCTCTGTGGGTTTCCAAGGTTGTAAGTAAATCTTTAAGGAAGCAGAATGACATCTCTTTCTCCCACAGAAGAGCTGGTAGGTTTGAGCTGCTACCTTGTGATTAGTATCTGAACACTTTAAGCCACTGCATGACCAGGGTTCCCTTCAGTTCACAGTTGGCACTCAAAATGAGGAGAATGTATAATAATAATAATAGAGAACTGAAATACCTAATGTATTTGAAGTGTTTTCACATCTCTTCTTTTATCCCCAGTTATTTGATGCACAGTAAATAAAGCCTCGAAGTAGGGGCCTTCAGACTGTATCCTGCCTGCAGGTGGGTCTTGTTTGATTTGTAGCTTTCAAAAATATATTTGAACTCCTTGCCCACAATTAAAAGTGGGCAGGGTTTTTTTGTTTTTTGTTTTTTTTAATCATTTTATTGGGGGCTCGTACAACGCTTACTACAATCCATACATACATCCGTTATGTCAAGCACATTTGTACATTTGTTGCCATCATCATTCTCAAAACATTTGAGAATGTTTTGAGCCCTTGGTGTAATGTGT